AAGGGGAAAATAGTTTCTATGTGGCTGTGACTCAAGTCCCTCTCCTACAATGCCAAGTTAGTGAAGCACTTATAAATTAAAAGTGAATTTCAGATTTTTATAAAGGATATCAATTGTCTTCATGGAATTGATGGTCTGTTTGGAGAAACAGATGTTTGCAAATGAAAAGTTAATTAACAAATAAAGACAGAATGTACAAATTTTAAGTGAGAGAATAAGTTCTCAGGGAAACGACAGATTTGACAGACACGAAGGTTAATGTATTTGTGACGCACTGGATTAAGAGGCAAAAGAGGAAGAGTCTGAAAAGAGGCCTGGGGTTGATAGAACACTGGCAGACAATTGGGAAATGTAAAACGGAGGGGGAAAATGAGCGTTTCACCATGTTCAAGGAAGCACAGGGAGAATCAGGGGATTATTCTCTTGCAAAAGCAAAGGATGATCTATGAGCAGTCAACAGGACATCTAAACTCAGTACCTGATAGACCTAGAGCAGTATTGTTACTTTATCTGTTTTTAATGTTGTCAGTTACACCACACCTGAGATTGGATTATGGAGATAAAGGAGGAGGTCAGACGCAAGCAAATGGAGGTAACGCCCAGATAAACTGAGGGGACAGTATTTAGGAATAATCTTTGGCTTATTAATTTTTGATTTGAGCCACCTCCACCTATTCTGGTGACTTTTATCAAGTCAAAGGATATGAGTATGGCTTTCTTCATATTGTGCAAGACAAAAAGAAGACAAATAGGGTTGTGTACTTGACACTGGAAGGCACAGTGGGTTTCAACTTTTTAAAATAAGTCACAACTCCCTTGATAGGCAATTAAGTCAAGTAAAGGAGAAACATCTAGGATATCCCTCTTCTGTTATCAAACCCGCAGGAGGTATATCTACATTTTTGGTCATTAGCTAAATTCTGAAAATTTAATAAACAGGTTTGCTGTGTTGTGAGGACATACAACAAAACAGGGCCATTTATGCAAAAGTCAGAAACTAGGGGCTTCCAGGCTTTGATACCTAATTATTCAAGAGCAACTAAAGATTCTCTTTCTCAGTTATAAATACCTAGAACAGTGCTATACGGGTCTCATGTTCTTGTATCTCACAAATGGGGTCTTGACAGCTATAGTGGCAATCCCTGAAATTCTTCCCAGAACTCAATATTTAAGAACTAGGAGTATAGTTTATCAGGGTGAAAATTCATTTTAGGGGCCAGCGCCATGGCTCACTTGGTTAATCCTCCTCCTGCAGCGCCGGCATCCCATATGGACACCAGGTTCTAGTCCTGGTTGCTCCTCTTCCAGTCCAGCTTTCTGCTGTGTCCCGGAAAGGCAGTGGAGGATGGCCCAGGTCCTCGGGCCCTGCACCAGCATGGGAGACCAGGAGGAAGCACCTGGCTCCTGGCTTCAGATCGGCGCAGTGCCGGCCATAGCAGTCAATTGGGGAGTGAACCAACAGAAGGAAGACCTTTCTCTCTGTCTCTCTCTTTTACTGTATATAACTCTACCTGTCAAATAAAAATAAAAAATAAAAATGACCTAGGAAGGAGGAGTCTGGCCACCTTCCCTTCACTGAGACTTTCATTCAAAACTGGCTCTTAAAAAAAAATAAAGAAAATTCATTTTAGCAGGTTCAACTTTAGAATTCATAAAAAAACAAACAAAAACCCTCAAGCTTGTATGTTTTAACATACAATGTTAATACCTCAGAATTCCAGTGGTGGAACAAGGATAAGATGAAGCATATGGGGGACGGTGGTGTTGCTCAGCGGGTTAAAGCTCCAGTCTGCAGTGCCAGCATCCCACATGGGCGCTGGTTCAAGTTCCAGCTGTTCCACTTCTGGTCCAGCTCTCTGCTATGGCCTGAGAAAGCAGCAGAAGACGGCCCAAGTGCTTGAGCCCCTGCACTCAAGTGGGAGACCTGGAAGAAGCTCCAGGCTCCTGGCTTCGGATTGGCCCACCTCCGCCCATTGCAGCCATCTGGGGAATGAACCAGCGGATGGAAGACCCCCCTACCCAACCTCTGCCTCTCTGTTACTCTTTCAAATAAATAAATAAATATTAAAAAAAGATGATGTATATGGAACTTTCTTTTTTAAAGATTTATTTATTTGAAAGGTAGAGTTACAGAGAGAGAGAGAGGGGAAGAGATAGAAAGATCTTCCACCCAGTGGTTCACTCCCCAAATGGCTGCAATGGCCAGGGCTGAACCAGGCTGAAGCCAGGAGCCAGGAGCTTTATCTGAGTCTCCCACGTGGATGCAGGGGTCCAAGGACTTCTGTCATCTTGCATTGCTTTCCCAGGCACATTAGCAGGGAGCTGGTTCAGAAGTAGAGTAGCTGGGACTGGAACCAGCACCCAGATGGGATTTCAGCATAGCAGGCAGCAGCTTAAGCCATTACGCTAAAAAGCTGGCCCCAGTATATGGTACTTAACATAACAAATAGTTGTTTTAGAAAAATTTCTTATACTCCTTGGAAAAATCTGTATCAGTGTGTTGCTGCAAAGAGTCACAACAGTCTAGATTATGGCTATTTAGCATTTAACAAATTCATAGTATTTCTTAGTTTTGTGCTAAATTATCTTTTAATTTAAAGATTTTACTTATTTGAAAGGCAGAGTTACAGAGAGAGAGGAAAAGGCAGAGAGAGAGAGAGAGAGAGAGAGAGAGATTGATTGATTTTTTCATCTGCTGGTTCACTCCCCAAATGGCTGCAATGGCCAAGGCTAGGCCTCACTGAAGCCAGGAGCCAGGAGCTTCTTCTGGGTCCCCCTAGGTTGTGTGGGAGCTCAAGTACTTGGGCCATCTGCTGCTGCCTCCCCAGGCACATTAGCACGGAGCTGGACTGGAAGTGGAGCAGCTGGGACTCGAACTGGTGCCCATATGAGATGCCGATATTGCAGGTTGAGGCTTTACCTGCTATGCCACAGCACCAGCCCCATTAAATTATTTTAATAGCTGCAAAAAATACTTTATCATATGAAAAAAATTCATTTAACCACTTCTCTGTTGCAAGACATTTTTTAAAAAAGATTTTATTAATTTGAGAGGTAGAGTTATAGACAGTAAGAGGGTGAGACAAAGAGAAAGGTCTTCCACTGTTGGTTCACTCTCCAAATGGCCACAACTGCCAGAGTTGGGCTGATCTGAAGCCAGGGAGCCAGGAGCTTCATCTGGGTCTCTCATGTGGGTGTAGGGGCCCAAGGACTTGGGCCATCTTCTACTGCTTTCCCAGGCCATAACAGAGGGTTGGATTGGAAGAGGAGCAGCCGCGACATAAACTGGCACCCATATGTGATGCTGGCACTGGAAGTGGAGGCTTCACCTGCTACGCCACAGTGCTGGCCCCTGAGGCTAGACATTTGTGTTGTTGTCATTGTGGCTTGGTATCTCTTTGTATATGAATCTCAGAGCCATGAAATCTGCAAAGTTCTGATAATGTATATTTTAGGACTTTTTGGACCACATATTGCATGTTCTGTTTATTTCTTCCTTTTTAAATGAAACAATACTTTTCAACTCTCAAAAACATTAGCTTGAGGGCTGTATAAAAACAGATGCCTGGGGCCGGCGCTATGGCATAGCGGGTATAAGCTGTGGTCTGCTGGGCCGGCATCCCATAAATGGGTGCTGGTGGGAGTCCCAGCTGCTGCACTTCAGACACAGCTCCCTGCTAATATGCCTGGGAAAGCAGCAGAAGATGGCTCAAGTCCTTAGTCCCTGCACCCACATGGAAGACCCGGAGGAAGCTCCAGGCTCCTGACTTCAGATTGGCCCAGCTCTGGCTGCTGTGGACATTTGGGGAGTGAACCTGCCGGATAGGGGACCTTTCTCCCTGCCTCACTATAACTCTGCCTTTCAAATAAACAATATATCTTAAAAACAAAGAGTTGGCTCTCACCTAATAACTTGCCTAGTTATTTATCAGATGTGGGCCTCTTTGGAAGCTCTCGGTGAAGGTATAAACTCAACTGTGGATGTTGGCAAGAGCCTAGGTGTCAGCTGACAATAGGTCATGGGGTTTTGGTGTTCTTCAGAGCCCTCTGCCAATAGTTTTCCTTTTGTTAAGAAAGCATAACGTGAAGGTGCTGATCCCGTGGAGACAACAGAATGGCCAGTGGCATCGCCAGGTTTTGTGTAGGCTAATTCTTAAGTAAGGCACTGGCTGGAAAGGGCTGTGGGGCAGTCTTCGGAGATGGCCCCTTAATTTCACCAAGTGAAAATAATTTTATCAAGAAATTAAGCTAACTTGTAAATAACTGAGAAGTCTCAAGAGCAGCCGTTCAGTAATTTTATATGTAGCAATAAAAACAAAAACGAACCACCTGGCCTCTATTCGCGTCAGAATCCAGAAACGAATGGAAAAAGAAAAACTGCAACTCAGTTTTGGCAATTAACTTAGCAAGTTCTCAGACGAGCTGGATATGTCTGTCTCTGTTCATCTGTAAGATGGAGATTACTGGTTTGAGTTCTATCATTAAGCACAGTGCCATATTCGAAACAGGTGATGAGAAATGAGAAAATGAAGGGCCGTTTGCTTTGATGGTCAGAGGTAATGACAGTTTTGAGCTACTTTAGTGACCTTCACTCCCACCCCCACCCCCCACCGCGGGGGAGAGCAGAGGCGCAGCACTAGCATTTCTCTGGGCAAAGGAAGGTGCTGGTCTTCTAGTCAGGTCCGGTAACACCGCCTACTCCTGCTCCGAAGCGCTTACCCCTAAAAAGCTCCTCGAGAGGCCCAGGCCACACCCGAAGGCACCTCCCAGGATTCCAGGACTACTGCGGGGGCGCTTGTGGTTTGGCTCTTGGACCAGCTCAGCCCAGCTGGGCCAATAAGGGGTCGGCTCAAACTCACCTGCTCGGCAGGTGCTCCCGGCCGAGGCGTGACCAAGGCGGGCGGGCGGGCGCGGTGGGCGGAGGCAGAAAATGTGAAGCTCCAGGCGCATGGCACCCGCCGCCCAGTCGCCGCGGTGGCTGCCGGGATGCGCCGCAGCGAATGGTCGCGCCGGGCGCCGCTCTGAGTGACCTTTCACCCGCGCCCAGCGGACCCGGGCGGCGGCACAAGGCGGAAGCCATGGCGGAGGCGGCGGCTGCAGCGGGCGGGACCGGCGCGGGCGCGAGCTCGGGCTCTGGAGCTGACCGGGATCGGGACCCAGATCGCGCAGGGCGGCGGCTGCGGGTTCTCTCGGGCCATCTGCTGGGCCGGCCCCAGGACGCTCTGAGTACCAATGAGTGCAGAGCGCGGAGAGCCGCGGCGGCGGCAACGGCGGCGCCCACGGCCACTCCCGCCGTGCAAGAGTCGGGCATCATCCCCAAGAAGCGGTGAGTACGGCCGAGGGAAGGAGCTGGTGGCGAGGGAGCAGGCTGGGCCTGTGCTGCGTGGGGGGCGGGGGGCGGGGAGGGACAGGGAAGAGGGGTACAGAAGGTGACATGAGTGGGCAGAAAGCATCCCAGTCGCGCAAAGTACGGACCCACCTCTCTGTCAGGAGACTGGACGGGAGCCTGGACTCTACCGGGACGGGATGGTGGATTGTGGCCACTGTGTGAGGGTGACAGACCCGAAGAATTCTTACAGGGGAAGAGTTTTAAAGGAGTCCCTTCCCTTGGGTTCTTAATGCCAGGAATTCATTCCTTTTCTTGAACGAATACTTAGGGGCTGTGGTTTTGGAATGGGTAACAGGGATTCTGTTAGGTTTCTCCCAGGAGGTTTCAGGTTAGCACTAGAAGATGATCACAGGGTCCCCTTCTAATTCGTGAAAGCCTGAGTGTGTGTGTGGGGGGGGGGGGGGCGTTGGTGCCCTGGAAAAAGGTACCTTTTGGCTTCTGTGGAGTAGACTTCTACTTGCTTATGGGCATGGTCTTTGACTTCGAGGAAGGAAACCAGTGAGTGAGTGGGTAAGAAGCAATGAGCCATAAACACTAGTTAGTGATGGAGGGTGTGGTGTTGAACTCCGTGTAACCAGCAGCTAAAAGACAAGGATCTCTGGATGAAGGATATTTCTGACAGATCTTGAGAGATGTGACTTCTGGGGAAATCTTAATCTGATAAAATTTACTGGGAGGAGCTGTTTGCTGAGATGTGGCTTTGAGTGCATAAACTCTTGAGAGTGAAATAAGATGTTGCTAATGTCTAATGGGTACTTGCAAAGTATCAGAGATGTGCTAAATCCGTCATTTCTTTTATTCCTTCCCAAGCCCTGAGATAGGTACAGTTTTATTCTGTCTTACAGATGAAGTTAAAAAAGAAAATTTTTAGCTTAGCAGATACACTGTGTGGCAGTTTAGAATTGGAAAGCACATCAAATTTACTTCAGTGCCAAGTTCTCAAGTTATACTACTACTAATGAGTTCATTCATTCAACATGCATTAGTCTTTCTCTGTTACATACATACTATACTAGCTATGCAGAGATTTAAGAATGCAGTATTTAAGGAGCAAATGCAGTATATAAGGAGCAAATAGCTTAGTAGCTGAAGTTCTAATAGTGTAATGACAGACTTAACTGGTAACTGTAGATCATAGTTACTTAATCTAGTTTTGGGTGTGTGTGTGTTATGACAAAAGCTTTCAGAGTTAAGATTAGCTGAGTAAATCATGAAGCTTGCATTGGAGATAGCCTGCCTAAGTAGAAGAGTGTTTTTGGGAGGCAAATAGTAGGTTCGCAGGTGAAGACATGAGAGACAAATAAGGGAACTGCTGGCAGTTAGGTTTGGCAGGAGCTGGTGAGAGTGACATGGATTAAGGCTAGGGAGGTATCTTGGTTGCAGGATTTTGCCTGGGGCAAAATATGATTAGATTTACATTTTACAAAAGTCCCTGGAACCAAACTGAAAAAGGTTGAGCAGTTTAGCAATATAATGCTCGACCTGGGTTTGAATTTCTGCTACATGGTTTAAATTGCGTGACCTTGGGCAAATCACTTAGCCTTTCTCAGAGGTTTAGTCTCCTCATTTATAACCATAGGGACAATCATTTCGGCTTTGCAGTATTGCTGTGAGAATTAAAAAATACAAAAGTGATCAGGTGCTTAGTATAGGGCCTGTTAACGCAGCCCCTCAACAAGAGGTAATTGTAATTTTCATTGTGTCTAAACACAGAGGGCCATTAGGAGACTGGTAGGCTCATGAGAAATGGTGGGATTGTGAACTAAGGCATAATTCAGAGAAGAAGCATTCTGTTAGTGAAAAGGTTAGGAAGTAAACTTTTCTAGAACTTGTTTACTGGGTGGTAGGAGAGGGAGGAATCAAGGATCACATCTTGTCCTCCAGCTTCAGCTGGAGCTATAGTAGCCATCATTGGGCTTAAAACTTTTAAATAGCTTCAGACACATCTTTCTCTACTCATTTGTATGCACATATGTGTGATTGTACATTTGTATGTATTTTCACATTTTAGGAGCCGAGAGGGCTGGTTTTCCTTATGGCTCAATTTAGATTCACTGCTTTCAAGGAAAAATAGTAATGCATACTAGGTGATGTTTGAAGCTTTCTATGGCTGAAGATGACTGCCTCCAAGATGTGGCTGCTCCAAGGACTGGAAACAGCAGTTGCTCAGGCACAGTTGTAGCATGAGTTGTGCCTGCTCTTTGGATTAGGGTTAGGTGGTTAGTGGTAAAATCTTGTCCTGTATGAGTATTTTGAAGACAGAGAGAGAGAGAGAGAGAGAGATAATGAGAATGAATGAGAATGAATCTTCCATCCACTGGTTCACTCCTCCAGATGGCCTTAAAAATTGCAGCTGGACAAGGCGGGAGGAGCCAAGAGTTCCATCTGGGTCTCCCATGTGGGTGGCAGGGATTCAAGTACTGGAGCCATTATCTGTGGCTTCCTGGGCACATTTGCAGGGGACTAGATCAGAAGTGGAACAGCCAAAACTCTAATCAGCACTATGAAATGATATGCAAGTGGCAGTTTAACATGCTATGTCACAGTGTCTGCCCAGGAACCGAATTGCTGGAGGCATCAGCACTGCCTTCCAGAGCCTGCGTTAGCAGGAAGCTGGATGGAATCAGGAGCTGGAAATGGGAATTGGACCCAGGTTCTCTTATGTGGGATATGAGCATCTTAACTGCTAGGCTAACCTCTTGCTCTCTGGAGTAGTGACTGGAAGACTGAAATTTCATGTCTTCGTTCTTCTTACAGAATAGTCATGTGCCTATTGATTTATTCAGCATTTGTAGGGTAGCTGCTTTGTGAGAGGTACTGTTGTAGGCACTGGAAGTAAAGAAATGAATAGTCTTCATCCTGAAAAGAAATTGCAATCTGGGGAGGAAGATACACTTTCCAGGATAATTAGAGCCATTGTAGTTACAGGTATGGATGTTGCACAACGGAAGCAAAGAGTGATCTGCTTTATCTTGGGGGCCAAGGGAAGCTTTCTGGAAAAGATTTTAAAAATATTGGTGATAGTTTGTCAGGGTGACTGGATGGTAAGGAGTGTTTGTATTCCAGGCAGAGGTGACAGAGCAAAGCAAGGGGATGTGAAAGTGCATATTTATTTAGGTAACTAGGGAGTTCACTATTACTAGAGGTGGGAGGAAAATGAAGAGAGCAGGGCAGTGGCAGATCATGGAAGCACTTGGCCTAAAACTCTTGAGTCATTCATTCATTCACTCATTTAGGCATGTAACGTAGAGCAATGACACGTGCTCTGCCCTTAGGGAACTTGCATTCTAGTTGGAGTGGATGCAGTGAGCAAACATGTAATATACTATGTTAGATGGTGACAAATGTAATACAGGAAAATGAGACAGCTTGGGAGGTGGGGGTAGGTGATGGAGAACCTTGAAGAAATTGTGCTGGAAAGAGGCATGCTTGGATTGGGTTTGGCTTAAGAGAGGTCACTCTAGCTGCAATCTTATGAGTGGAGAAGGGTAAGAATAGGCACATTGTCGCTCCCCCTCTTCGTGGAGGAACGACACTAAACCCTGCCTAGGCTTCATATCCGAGTCACGGCACCATTATGTCGCTCCCCCTCTTCGTGGAGGAACGACACTAAACCCTGCGCTGTTCTTTCGTCTGCTCGGCCCTCCCCGGGTTTGCTGCTGGTTCTTCCCGGGTTGGCTACTATCCCTTCCACCTCCGTGGAAGGGCAGTTCCCCCTGGCCACATTCCCCACTTCCGCAGGGGAGCGGCACACCGCCGGCCGGCTCTCTCGGGGCTGCACAGGTGTTCCTTCAGCTAGATGTTCCCCTTAGATGTTCCTGGTGCATGCCGTCTCTCTCCTCCTTTATAGTCCTCCTCCGCCAATCCTAACTCGGCTGCCCACACGCCGAGTACGCTGCTCTCCAATCAGGAGCAAGTCCTACAGTTTATTGGTTGAACTGGAGGCAGCTGTGTAAAAGCTGTTTTCTTCTCTCCCAGCGCCATATTGTGGGAGAGCAGATGCATAGAATAAGTCTTAATTCCAGTAACTTAGTCTAGTCCGAATTGCTCCCCACAGCACATGGATAATTTGGGGGAGCCTGTTGTCAGAGTGAGAAATAATGATAGATTAAACAAAGATGATGGCAATGAAAATGGGGAAGAGGGGGTGGGTCGGAAAGTTTTGGAAGTTAGTGCAGTAGGTGATAACTTTTTTTTTTGAAAGATTATTTATTTGAAAGGTAGAGTTACAGAGAGAAGAGACAGAGAGAGGTCTTTACACATTCCTTAGGATTCTGTCATTCCTCTTCTATTTTCAATCAGTCTGCAGACTCCCATAGCGTAGTAAATGCTAATTAGTTCTACAGTTTTAAAGTTGTCACCTACTGGGGCCAGTGCTGTGGCATAACGGGTTAAGCCACTGCCTGCAACGCCAGTGTCGGCATCCCATATGGGCGCTGATTCAAGTCCTAGCTGCTCTACTTCCAATCCAGCTCCCTACTAATGCACCTGGGAAAGCCAGGAGCCAGATGCTTCATCCTGGTCTCCCACATGGGTGGCAGGGGCCCAGACACTCAGGCCATCCTCCACTGCTTTTACCAGGCCATTCCCAGGGAACTAGATCAGAAGTGGAGCAGCTGGGACATGGACTGGCATCCATCGCAGCCGCAGCTTTACCTGCTACGCCACAATGCTGTCCTTGCATTGTTTTTTTTTTTTTTTTTTTTTTAAAGATTTATTTATTTATTCAAAAGGTAGAGGTACAGACACACAGGGAGGGAGAGAGAGAGAAATCTTCCAGCTACTGTTTTATTTCCCAAATGGCCACCATGACCAAGGGTGGGCAAGGCTGAACCCAGGAGCCAGGAGCCTCTTCCTGGTCTCCCATGTGGGTGCAGGGGCCCAAGGACTTGGGCCATCTTCTGCTATCTTCCCAGGCACATTAGCAGGGAGCTGGG